ATACCCAGCCCACCGCACAATATCGTGAAGAAAAACAAAATGCGAGAATCCAGCGTGCCAGAAGAGTCAAATTACTGGACTCCGCTTTCTCAGTAAACCTCACCCAATGGGGCGTAGTCCATTTGGAATCGTCTCACACTGAAGCGAATGATGAATAATCGTGAGATTATTTCGCTGTTTTTCTCATTGTTCTCATTCGCGTGATGATTAGCATAATACCTTGAAGAGAGGAAATTAAACAGGGAAGGGGCCGAGACCCCATCACACAGTAATGAGAACCGGCAACCGAAACAGTGTGCGACTTGAAGAGGTATCTGTTTTATAGAGCTTATCAACAGAGCTCAAAGAGAGAACACGCTGGCTGAATTCGAACTTAGTACTTAAGCGCGCTGGTTCACTCACTTAAAATCGATTTGTGTGCAACTAAAAATCCCTTAATATTCAGGTTGAGATTACTAGTAGGTCAATGAATAGTTTTGGACAAACCATGGAAAACATTTACTAATTCAGTGCAAAGTGTGATACGATCACAGTAGTGCTGTCTTAATGAGAGTGCGAAAATGTACACTGATTGCAACTCAGGAGTTATCGTGATGAATTGTTCTCTGAAGTGCTAGCTGATACTGAGTTACACAGTTTGTAACCTGAATATACTTTTGCTAGCCGTTGCTATCGGAAACTAACCGTTAGAGAAAATGTAATTAATGATCTATGATAACTCTGTCGTCCAAACAATTGTAAAGACAAATAAAATGGATACATAAAACTAAGCTGATCGACTCCAAATACCCGTTTCTATCAACTGAGAACGTACTGCTTACGATTCATGACTATCGGGCACCGCCAGCTGCAAGTAACCGATCCTGGACAAACGACGATCAAAGGTGAAGAAAAGAGTAAGAGAGAACGAGCAGAAAACAATGCGCTAAATGCATTGAATGAAATGCTGATAGGGAGAAAGGATACAAAATAGCAAGATGTCACTCATTCGCTGTGAATCCTTAGCCCATTCGAACAGGACAGTCAAATTTTTCAAACACACGGATTCACATGCAATTGAAAATGCTCCCAAACAAACCTGGTGCAGCATGAGTCAAGCGTGGACCGGGTTTCAAGGGGCCCCGGGGTGCGACGGGATGCAAAAGAGAAAGCGGCGATTGCAGTTTACAAACAACATCAAACGGACCTATAGACAGACAGACAGACAAACAGACGGACAAACAGACAGAACTAGTTCAAACAGAAGCTCAGCCGAAGAGAACCGGACGGGATGAAACAAGGCGTGCGAGGAATGCGCTCAATCGCGTGCCATTGGAAGCGCAAATGCAAACAGCTGAGAAGATTTGCACTGAACAACTTACGATAGTTACGTCCTTTTGACCGAGGGAGAGAAAGTTGCAGATGATCAGTACAGAGATCATGTGACCATGACTCACTCCAAAAATGTACGGGAGGGAGGTAAACAGTAGTGGGTGCCTTAAGTGACCACAAAATTTTGACGATATGCTTTTAACGGAATTTTCCGGGATAACGTATGTGCAAAACTTAGCTTTCAAAAGGACACAAGTGACTGTAAAATACTTAAGTCACAAAGGCTTTGAGATAAGCCAATGGTGGGCTCCATTCGTTCGAAAAAAGAACAGAAAACAGCTGTTTTGGATGAATTGTTTGTCAAATTCAGTACATACTACTTTTAAGATTCTACGTTTTCACTGATCACTCTTCGCTGGATATTCGGTTCTCCTTTTTCCATAATTTCTCAAACATTTCGTAAATCAGGTTGTCCCTTTGACAAATCAAAATTTCCGGGTATCAAGTCGTGCTGTCCTGTTTTCACATCAATCTGTTCCGATTAACATCAGGGTACCCGGCTGAGCTTTGTGAGCCTGAGATAGAGAACAGTACCGTTCTTCTACCCCAGGATTGAACGCCGGACAGAGAACTTTGCGTGATGATTTCTGCTTCATTATGAGTATCGATTTGCAGTTTAACAAGGACATATAGCTCAGAAACTGTGACTAGGGGGTGAAGATGACATGTAGACAAATAGGTTTGATATCAAGACACGCTGGATGATGCAGGGGCAGTAGAAGGAATCGATTTCCAGATATCTTGGATTGGTACTGGATCAGTGTTTTGCAAAATGTGTCTATTAGTTACTTTATTTACTGAATCAACGTTACCGCTCGCGATCGTATTAAAGCACTGTGCCACTTTACTGAAACAGTTGTTATGAGTTAGTGTTAGTAGGACAAAGAGTCATGTTTCACATTGCCCATTGATGAGGAAAAGTTTCCATTCCTATCAGTGATTCCATTCCAATACAATTTAACGAATGATCGCCAATGTCGGCAGGGTTGATAGGTTTGGTACGGGTGGAAGCTACCCTCTATGTCTCATTTTACATGCCCCGTACACTATTCACTTCTCTCACGATTCCTCCACCTGTCCGCTTCCCATCCGTTTCCCGTTCGGCGTTGACTGCACACGTTGAAACCAGTTTGGCTCGTCACACTACTCGCCACGATTCNATTCAATGTAAATGCTTTATCATTTTCTGTTTCGTTCTCGACGTTTTGGCACGTGGTTTGGCCGCGCATGCGTATGCAGCATGCACTGTTAATGTTTTCTTTCCAGCAAACAAGTGAAAACCTGTGATAGGAACGTGGTACGTCACATTTGGGAGCGTACCGTGTGTCAAACGCAATGGTCGATTTTTCTCCTTCTGAAGATGCATCAGCTCATAGCGACAGTGTATTCGAGTGAAAAAGTCGGACACGAGGCGCCGTAATTGACAGATCAGATTGATCAGAGCTTGCNCTTGCTATTCTCCACCTATCCACCTATCTCTTTACTCGCACAAAACGATTTCACTGACGTGTGTGTATTGGGTCGTGGTACCTCAGCAGAGTGAGCATTAGTGCCCACGCCAACAGAAACACACGCACGGGCAGTGCGCAGCATGGAGCCAGTATACTCTCAGTACTGCAAAGAAGGAATCGAAACAAAATGAGCTATTTGGAATAATGAGATGAGGCAAACATTTACAAATGGTTCATAAGAGCAGTAACATGATTAGGCTTATGTTTTTGTAATTGAACCGCTCACTCTTTCTCTCACTCGGCCTACATACTTTGTATGAGATGCACAAGACGCTTTGCGTGTGCCACGGATATTTCCATATTCATTATATCTTAGAACCAACATACGACAGCATGAATATAAAACGAGACAATTTATACCTTACTTTATGCTACCTCTACCTCATCGAAGATAGATTATTACTTTAAACTCAAACTCCATTTAAGTACTCCTGACAACTTAGGATATTAAATGGCTTTCAACTAAACTATTCCACTAATGATGTGCAATTGTGAGACGCATAACTGAGAAGAGTTCGTGTACAGTAGTCAAAGAAAACACTAGACCATTTGTCCTTATTGAGTACTTTTTTGAATAGCGGGATTTGGACCGCAAATTTACGGTTCGAATGAACATAAACATACGCCCACATCTGAATTTTGATTTACATCCCTTCAGTGAAACAGCTAAAACGCATCACTGTGTTATGAGATACTGTGAATGTTGTTCGCAGAAGACCTGGATAAAAAATAGCCTAATGCCAGTGGAGATTAGAACGGACACTCACATTACTAATCGAGAATAAAGATGGCTACAGCACTACTGAATGAGCAGTCGCGGAAGATCAGCGATGATGCCAAAGAATGCAACATATTTTTACTTGGCAAGTGAGCATCTTGCAACAACAACAAAAAACCATGAACGTCCGTTAACAGCATCGTGACGTGGGCGACTGTTGCCTACCAATAAATGAAGCCCTAGACATCACCTCGTGGTCCTATAGGTAGCATTTCGTTGAGCAAAACGCAGAAGATGCCACTTATGATACGTCATATGTACACATAATATACTAGCAGGCATCGTCGTAGATCAATTTATAAACACAGTTTTCACTTGTGCTACGGCTTCCCTGGAGAGCGAAATGCTCCGAGCTCACCCAGCAGCTGTCAAAAGTCAAAACAACGAGACAGAAAAAATCAGTCTAGGGAGACATGTTACAGTTTGCTGGAATGTCACTACCCTTTCAAGTGTTAGTAGTCAGTGCATCGCCATGCACTCCATGCAGAACAACGGTACTGAAGTTGCTTGGATGTCAGGAATGAGGTTATTTAACCTGGGATCGAAACGAATACTATGCCAAATACAGGTTCATTAGATCTGCCGCAGTGTACCCACTGACATTTCTGGGTCACATCGTGTAGCTTTCGTAAGGAGAAAAAGGCTGAAGAATGCGCTGACTTTAGGGGAATCCGTGTCTCCCAGAATCATCACCGTACGTTTAAAAGTGTCGCCTCTCAATAGCTCAGTCATCTATCTACGTAACAACCTCACCAGAAGAAGAGTCTGACATAGGTTAGTTTTACAATCAACTCCAAGATGTAGTGCAGGGAATCTCTCAAAGTAATAGTCTATTCAACAGCGGCAATTGGACTGCAAGAACTCAATCACTGAGCACTCAGGCAACACATCTTAGGGTATTCAACTCTGATCGTTTATATTTGCACGGTCGATTCCGATCGAATAGTTTACTGTAGTACACGATTTCAGTATCCCAGAAACCGTGTCATGGATGTTCCCGGAAGGCTGTTGCCGTATTACTGACTGCGAATAACTAGCGGACTAATCTGTAGACGCACGATAAAACCTGAAAACCTTCGCAAAAAAGGAGCTGCAATGATGGAAATTAGGACGATGCCCCGACAACTTTCTGATATGAACGGTGCTCTAAGGTAACAGCCTACACTGCTTATTTTGGGAAGCTGTCCAAACTATCATAGTCATCTTTAGAAGAAAATTTCCATTGCGCTATGAACTAACTATTATATTAACTAATTAACTAACTATTATACAGAGCAAGGCCGAAACTCGAGAGTTGGGTTGAACATTTTATTCAGTTGATGAATTACTCACCAAGGTAGATGAAAAAGATCGTTATCTCCGTAGGCAGTATGCCTTTGCCTGATCAAATAAAATGAACTGATAAATATGATATGTAATGGCAACGAGAAACGCAGGTCTGTGAAGATCCTCAAATCCTGATGGTACATGATACCTGAACCCCGATATTCGTCGGCTCGCAGCACCTGGGAAACCAGGACACTTCATCCTAACAGCAAACTACTCATCGATCGGGGCTCTAGTTCATGATCATGAGAGTTATCCATCAATCCAGAGTGAAATGTGGAGTTTGACAGGGATGCTCACTTTCATCAATACAGTTCAGCTGCGTCATCGATTTGCTAGAGGAACGGGTCCTTAAAGATTACCATGAAGTGCAGAGTGAATTGATAACCTGAAGTTTGCAGACAAAGTGGATCGCCGTGAGTTGCTCTCAAGGTTCCTCACGCAAAATTTAGTAGTCTGAAATTAAAAGTGAAAGTAAGTTCAATCCGCTCACTTGAGCGACTAGCGACAATTCCATGTTTCGGATAGCTACAGGTAAGTATTATCACCAAGCATTGTCTATTCACCGGTGCTCGAAATCGGAGATAGCGTCACCCAGTATCCCATCTATGATAAGAGATCAAACTGATCTTAGGTATGGCTGGTGGCATTAGATGTTGGTATTACAAAAGAATGTGAACATTTGAAACACCAAGTCCCCTAACAAGAATTTAGTAGATGTGAGACCCCTGATTCATCGTTTGTGAGAGGACGAAGACAACAGATTGGAGAGGAAAGCGACGAAATATCACTGATAAAATCCATTCGGTTGTGCTGAAAACCGCGAAGACCAATGGTTTCACTTTTGAAACACTGTTCGCAAGTTATGTTGTTGTCTTCCTTCAGTTAAAACCCTATCCTGCCGCTTGAGTGGGTACTGTTTGAATATCAGATGGTCAAGGAAAGTTCAATTTCGTACGGGAGTTCATAGGAAACCAAAACTTCAATAATCAACGTTAAGGTATCTTTGATGTATAGAAATTTATCAGCACTTGATCAGGAATGATGAGGACAGGTTCACCTTGAGACAAAACTGTGAAGGAAGAATCGGAGTATTGTGATCACGTGTACCATCCATCATTGACGGTGTAGCCTATCCGGTTTTATAAGACACTGCCGGTCCGATCTGTATTTCGAGGCAGTTTCGGTGGATGGAACACTTACTGTGCTGATCTGAACATCTATTTGGTCTCTTAAATGACCAACTTAGAAAGATGGACCGTTCAAGGAAGCAACTCCAGCCCACATCATTCTGAGATAGTAACAGAGAAAAACTTAATCCAGAAATCGTCTCTCTCTATCTCTCTTGGGCAAGCTGTTCGCCGGATCTTGAATGAAAAAAATTTCGATTCCTGTATTTGCTTGACAGTTATCAAGCTCATTTGCCATTGTCATTTTCCAGTCTTCCACCACTCCCCGCACCCTCATACTGACAACAAATGGCTACAGTCAGTCTGCCAGATGATGGGCCGTTTCGAACGGAGATTGATTTTTTGTTTTCTCTCTATGTGTGTCATTTTGGTTGTGAAAATTGATTTGTTTAAATTGACAGCAACTGACAAAAGACCAAATCAAACCCCGCGTGAGTGGACAAACACGTGTGTGAACTGTGCTCAAGCGAATACAATCAAACAATACCAAAGAGATGATCACATGATACCTACGTTCGTGAGACGAATGACTCCTTTCAATATTCTGCATGGTAATCCCAAGTAGCACTCAGACACCCAGTGGTGAAGTTCTGAAAATACTGGACTTGGTCTTTCTAGTGACACCGCAAACATCACCTATCAAATTCATCTGTAAATTTCACTTCGTATCTCTGCACATAAGAAGTAAAGATACGTTTTATGTAATGCCGCTCAACTTTTTTCAATGATCTTTGTTCCAGGAGAAGCTCAAGCTGTTAACAGCTGCAAATTATTTGTTTGAACCTAACCCATCATCACCACCCCGACGAGTAAACTCTCCCCATTTCGTTGAATCACATGACAGACCCTCGCTTGGGCGCTTTGGTCCCCCGAAAAGTGATTTTTCCATCATAGATTCAAGAATCTTGAGGGATTCAACGACAAAGGTATGATGGAAAGATGCATTGATATACATATTTACCTCAAAATTCAGAGCGTGCATCTTAAAAGGACTAGTAAACCAATTATCATCACTCTCCAATTTCATATGATTTGTATGGTGTTCTATTTTGAAAATCCTCAAGGTTCGTTCTAGTTCAAATATACTACTAACAAAATTTAACAATAGTCCAAATCGAATTTCTTCAGCAGACCTTCGGTTCACTCGTAAGCATACGAACTGGAAAATCAATAGTTATTTTTAATTTCTAATGCAAGTGATGATTCACGTTTTACGCATGAGCTTTCTCAAATCATTTACAAACTGATTCTCTTCAGCAATCATTTGGTACGGGAAATGCTCGCATAGATTTTTCCAAATCTGGCGGTCAACCAAATGCCTTTTTGGCATAGCGCAACCGATTCGAACGCTACTCATGTATTTATCCGACTTAAAGGACAATCTCGTGTGAGATATCATTCTCTAAAGATCGCTTACAACTCTTCATCATAGCATAACGTTCTTTGCCTTTCTTCCTATAGTATGCACCATACATTATGAAAGAAAACTCAACCCCGCTTTGCTATACAGGAATTTATATTCCACACTACCTGCCCTACAACAGGAACTTAATATGATGTTTCGTCTCACGACAACAGTTTAGCGTTTNNAGGTCCTAATAAGGTCCTTGGTGATCTGTTAAACAGGATGAATAACGCATTTAAAATCCAAAAGGTCTGAAATAAAGAAAAAATCCTCTTTTGTAATCCTTGGGCTACATAAGTAAAGAAGATGAGCACTCAGTTGCACTAGTTACGCTAGTAAAACAACTGTTTGAAAATGCTGACGATACTACTGTTATATCGAAGGCCATGTTAACTGCGGCTTTAGCTGCCCGAAGGCTCCCGCCGTTAATTCCCTAAGAAAATCCTCCTGCTCTCGCCTGGGAAACCTGGTAGTATTGCGCACATAAACAGATTATAACCCGTTTTTCTTTTTATGAAGATTTTTGTGCCGTGACTCGTTTGGTACACATTCTGAACTTAGACGTGTGTGAAAATATATATAATATATGATGGGGAAGGAAAAGGTATTTTAGCTCTCAAGAGTACAGAAGATTTGAATATTTTAAAATACAACATAACACAACCCATTCGATTTTTTATGTGATTTGAAACAAGAAAAATATCATGAGTGATGAACAGCACAGATCTCTTTTTATCCACATTCCACAAAATCCATGCAATCGGATCCAAACACTCCTTATGACTCGTATCAAGCCAAAAAACTGATGATCAAATGAAGGAATTGAAAAGGGACATTCTGTTGGATATAAAAACACCTTTGCATCACAGAACAAGCTGGGATTATTGGGCTGGGAATCTACCTACCTGGTTCCTCATGCACAATCGGTGTTTGCAAATCCACCTGTTTACCACATGCGCGGATTAAACTGGACACTTTCACGCGAAATTCTTCCAGCAACTCGATGAATGGTGACGGCAATGAAGACCACGTGACCTCTCCCTTTTCTGCGTTCACATTCAGTTCCAGTTGATAGGCCACTGGGAGTTTTTGAATTGTCAGGAGTGTGTTAGAAATGGAATTGTTTAAGGTTTTAGAAATGAATATCGAAAAAATTGTTGAAATATGCAATAAACTGGGAGATTGGAAGCCAACATGGATAAGCACTCGAAGGCAAAGGATACTGTTCACGGTGATTACCTATTGCAAATCTACTGCTTTCTGCCTTAGCGAGATCTTTTTAAATTCATCAGGATTAAAGTTTTTTTCCGTCAGAGTGAGTGGAATGCATCCTGGCAAAGAACCGTATCTCTGCCGCAATCTCCTTCGCATCTACTGGAGTAATTTGAAAAGAGTCCCATCGCAAACAATCGTCGTGACGACTCTCTGACGAACAATACGTTACGGCTCAGTTGAAAAAAGTTTATTTTATCAGATAAGACATTCGCATAAACAGTCTTGACTATATTTTGTCCGGTAAATAATTTATTCTGAATCAGTATAGTGTCAGTTATCCCATTCAACCGAACTAGTATCATAATGATCGACTTCTATCGAAATGCCATTGTTCTCTCCATACTCAACTTCAGTCAGTTTGTCGTGTATGGGTTTCTTCGCGCTCAAACTATTCGTCCTTGAAATATCAGTGCATTTGCTGCGAAAGATTTGGGACAAATTCACTCCGGACAATCTGTGTGTGTGTGTGTGTGTGTGTGCGTGTATGTTTCAGGTCAAAACACGCTTCGCTGGTTGGCCAGTTTGTTCAGACCTTTGGACATGTGCTTTGCTACTTGTGCCAACATGAACTGTTGGACATGAGACAGGATCGCACTTGTTTTCATTTCGTCCGGAAAAGACACGGCGGGTCGTTTGATGCATGAGTCAGTTACGTGGGCCGACACTATCAATTAAATTGAGTTTGTACTCTCCGGATGACGGCATGGTAGTATGAGGCCAGGATAGAAATGCAGAAAGAGCCTCAAAATAGTGTTTGGACGAGACTCACTCGGATGCGGTATGGTTAGCGATCGACGAGTATGCAGTTCTGGGGAGTCCGGACCGGCCGAATCAATGCGCAATTCCAAATCAAGCACTAGAAGATTTTGATCGCGTGGTGCGGCAAATGTGAACGGTGTGTCAGTATGTTCCACACGTTTCTCCAATTGTTCCGTGACTGGCCAAGTTGGATGAAGCACCAGATACATGGGGCGACATCCACTACTGTCCACGATTGCCTGAAAATAAGTATGTTTGTGTTATTGAACTGAAATCAATCTGTGCGACTTCTCATCTGATTTTTATGAAACATGGTGGCGGTTCTCACATAGGAGCCTTTAATCTAACAGTAAGGGATCAAGCAGGTCTATGTGGCCTCGCAGCTCAGTTGGCACAGTGAACACTGCAAAAACCGTGGACAAGGTCGCTGCGTGGGTTCAAACCCCAACGAGGATACCAGTCCCTGGATGAATCAAATAAAAGTGTTGGATTTCACTAATTTGATGCACTTTGGAGTAGAGAGAGAGATAAAGTGCTCCGAATTTGTCAATAGATTGAGTGTTAATTTAAAAAAATCTGTTTTTATTAGATTCTCATTGGATATGATCGTTCATAACCTTCGAACTGTATGTGTTCCACGCACAATCGGTCCAGTTATTCGTTTTACTTTGAGGCAAGCCAATAGGTAGAACTAATCGCACACTTCAGTTTCTCCAAAAGGTCAACCAAAATTTATTGGGGGGGGGGGGGGTTGATCCATCAGACTTATTTTCATTCAAGCGGTTGAGTGCGAGAAACGAAAAATCGTCCGAGTGTAGCGAAAGTTAACAGACGATCTTCTGAAAATAACTATAGTGCACTCACTAGCTGACACGAACGATAGAATGACCGGGTACAAGAGTCCTCCGTCTTACATCTGTTTCACTGACAAAGTTCATCATATCTTGGGGCATTATAGCAATGCCTAACGCACTGTGACAAAACTATTTCTGTCAAACACTGTACTACTTAGATCAGGATGTGAGTAGAACGAGGTAAAATGTTGCAGTGTCTTCTACCTCCTGTGATTCTTTTCGATGAATTAAATCACTGTCCGTTTGTGTATGCGTTTGTGTGTTAGTGCCTTTTAAACTGCTTGTATCGCCAGTCATGTGTCCGGAGATTGTGCATCATTACTGTTTGGCTCAAACTGAAATAAATCTCTCGTGCTTGAGACGGATGTATTCAATATTGCGTTCCTAGTCAATTGTGCGGCAGAGGTTCATGAAGACCCAGTATCATCATTTCGACGCCTTAGGATGCCTAAAAATCTATGATCAACTAGATTGTATGTCATCAGAGGTGTCTGGAGGTGGTGGATAAGAGAACGAGCACCTTCAGTAGATAGGCTTCGCCGCACTGCATAAATGGTCACGGATGATGCTGGCGAGGTGGAATTTTCGTCTGGCAGTGGAACAGAACACATGACCGTTGAACGCATCGAGACGATTGCGAATATGGCTCGTCACTAAAGAGGGCCGTCTCTGTCACCTGATTGCTCGGACACGTAACTGTGCAAGGATTAGTGACGCAACAAAGAAAAACAAAAGCCGAGTGTTTCTGATGTTCGCACTGTTTAATGAACTTTTTGTGGATGACTTCATAAAACCAAATCATTTGCATATTAGAGAAATTTGCGCAAATGTAAAGTGATGTACAATTTCGTCTATCAGGGTTTGCGAGCTGCCACAGATCAATGAGATCGGAGCAACTCAAACGAACTTCGTCTATCAGAACACCGCTCTTAGCTCTCGGACCCCGGTGAACATTATAGATCGCCAACTCAGGTGATTGTGTTGAGTTGAAGTTGAATAATCTTGATTATCCCCGGTGATTTGGAATGATGGTATACCCACAAATCATGACCATTCATCCTACAAGGCCCAATCGGGGTTTAATTACAACTGTTTCTCTTTTTTATCTATTGATGATTTATCACAATGCTGATCTCATTAAGTGCAATCATAGTGTATTTTGTCTTTCAACACATTCCACGAGCGAGCTCAGTTGAGTGTGTCCCTTTTCAAATAGGCACCTTTGAAGGTTTTTGAAACGAAATGCTGATAACTATGCTAACGAGGTTGACAAGTGTGGCTGATTCAACCCCGGTTGGGCCGGAACTACATCAGGATGACCACAATAATGAACACAGTGCCTAGATTTTAGGTCGTCTCATCGCTACTTTTTTCTTCATAAGATTGATTGACGGACTGGTTGTTGTACCGGTTGTTCAGATAACAGTTAACTTGTGCATGTAGAAAACACACTGGAGGGTGGGAGCGGTTAGATGGAAAGGAGATTTGGGAGCAGCCCGGGTTATTACAATCCATCGGAACCGGATGCTGTGTCCATCAACCACTATGAGGACACTTGCAAGCACAGTATTACACATACTTATAAATAGTGCTGAACAATAAAGTGATGATGATGTTGATGATATGGCCACACAAGAGTGATTCTTTGTTTATATAATCGTAATGATTGCACATCGGTTCACACCTCAGTTCCGATGAAAGAAAATTCGTCTGTCCGAAATGAGTTACAAATCAGAGATGCACGCACATGCATTGGTGCGATAGAACAGGGATCACTCGTGACGGGTAGCTACAACCAGAGTCACGGTGGGATCTTGAGCAGTATTGAAATTATATAAATCAACCAGCAGACCAATGAGGGACTAAACGTTGATATCCCTACAGAAAACCACTCTGTTTGCGGTACTACTGAATGTAGAACTCAGAGTCTGCTTAATGTCACGATTAATACTAAAACATCAGAATGACTAAATTGTGTCTTCTTGTGTGTTCCATCGCTCTTTCAATTTAATTAGATAAAACATTTTACAC